TAATAATAATAATAATAATAATAATAATAATAATAATAATAACAATAATAATAATAGTAAGAATAAGCTAAATATTACCTTGAGTTGCTAAATGTTATCTTGAAATTGAACATTTCAAAAGCAAAAAATATATATAAATTTTTCTGGGCCAAATAATTCTCAAAATATTCCTTAGTAAAAAATGAAAAAAAAAACTTTTTCATATTTTTATGTATGGTATTTAAGTAAACATACTGTTTTTCTTTTAGAATTCTTGTCTAAAATCATCGCATATATTTGTTGCTACAAAAATTTTAAAACTTTAAAAATCATGAAAAGATGAATATTTGCAATGGATAAGTGTAACCTGGATAAATACTGCTCATCGATAATTTATGATATTTAAAAAAAGATAATTATTGAGTGAAAGTTGGCGAAATTATTGGTGGTAAATTTTGATGTAAATAGGCCATTCATTGCTTTGTAGCAAAATTTTGGGAGAAATGACAAATGAAGATTTTATTCCAATAAAAATTTGATTTGGGAAAAAAAGAAGGGAAAAAAAATTATTTAATAATTCACTTAGAGATCTTAAATGAATTAAGATCTTTGTAGATTTTCTCAGATAATGGGAAATTTTTTTTTTTCTTTGACAACAATTGCTAGCATAAAGAAACAACCAAAAATCTGTTTCAAATTTCATAAATATTTCAAAATTATAAAAAGATGAGCGAAAAAGAGTTATATATTGTTTAGTTATATCATTTCAGCTTGCTAGCCACCAATAGCTAAGTGTAATTCAAATGGCCATAAACGTAATCTATAGATTCAATGTAAGCGTAACCTATAATGGATTAATTCAATGCAAACGTAATCAGTTTAACTGTAAACGTAATCTATGAATGAATTTTTAGAATTTATGATCTGTGTAAAAAAGTTGCGTAAAAAAGATCATGTAAAAGTCTTCGTAAAAAGATCACGTAAAAGTTCTTCAGAAAGGCTGGTAACATCGCAAAAATATGCTCGGAAATAGTTTTGAACATAAGTTTTAAACAGACGATACTGCAGAAGTAAATGTTTAAATACTTTTATTCTCATTCTTCCTCATCTTATCATTGTTCATAATCACTAATTAATTATTAATGCATTCGTTTGTTTCATACAATATAAACTTCAATACTCTGTAAGCTTTTTTTTTCTTTTTTAAACCGTTTTTCATATTGACTGAATAAAAATTGTTTAATCTATATGCCATGCTCTCGACGCACATACACATACGCACACACACACACATACAAATATATATATATATATATATGTATAGACGCAACTGCATGGCATGCACAACTATATGTATATATGTATACCAGTTGACTGAGAAAGAATTACGATATATGTTGAATCATATTGTTAAATTTATTTCCCACTACTTGTTTTATCAATTATTCAAAATAAAATCCCCTTTAAATGTAAAAATTTTTAAATCTTATAGGAAAATTAGAAGAAAAAGACAAAACGAATATCAACAAATTACTTACCTTCTGCACCGGTTCTTAGCTTCCATTCCATGTCACGAATCAGTAAATCAATCTGATCACGACCAAGACGTTCCTTTTGCTGAAAATTGATAAAATTAAAGGGAGAAGAAATGAGGGAGTATCCAAACTAATACAGGAATGTTTGATTTTTTTTTTATTTTCATGTTTTTAGTTTCATTTTTTTCTTGAACAATGACAAATTGATTATAAGTTGATTATTATAATTGATAATTATAATAATTATTATCATAATTGTTATAATTTACAAATTGATTATAAGCAAGGAAAAATTCGAAAGAAAGAACAAGTTTAAAATTTACTTCATAGATACTTCCCATGCTTTGTGGTGCTGGTAGATCGCGAAGTTGCGATTGCTGGAATTGATTTGCGATACGTTGCGTTTTCGTTAAACCTATAATTTGTTGTGCAACATTAGAAGCAGTGCAATGTCAAAACCCGTCCTTCTAAAATAATTAGCTTTTTTTCTTTTTTTTTTGCAACATCGTAACAACTTTTTAATCATAATCATCGGAAGTCAAACGCCAACTTTATTCCACTCGCATGAAACTTGCTTGATCTATTTTATAAACTATTTCAATTAAGTAATTAATTGAAATGCTAACTGTAAGATATATAAAAATTATTATCGTAAAATTGATTTGTTAAAATTGTATTTTTTTAATAAGAATACTAAATTTTTAGAAACTCAAAAGGATAAGAATAATAAATGTGAATATATTATAACTGTAATGCAAAATTGAACAAAAAATTACAATTTTATTAACAAATTATTTTATTTTATTCATTTGATATTTTTATTATTTTAAACTAATCACTTAAAGTAATTGAAATATATGCCAAAGCCGAGAGAAAAAGCCTCATAAAAGTACTTTGATCTCGCAGGTCTTTAACAAATTGGTAAGATTTATTGATATTACTGTATGGTACATGTCGTCCTGTGTTATGATAATTATTGTTAACACCCTGATAGGCGTCTCCTGGCACATCCATTACTGTATAAGCTGGTGTTTGTGTTGCGTATGCTCGAATATACGATTTCGGATTCGTGATATACGGTATTTCATTAGGTATTGTTTCATTGCTGCTTGAAACAAAACAATCAAACAAATTCACTGAACACATTTTATGAATGATAAATAAATTTTATTTATATGTTAATCTTAGCTATCATGAATTTTTGTTTATTTATCGTCCTCTAAAAGTTTTCATTTTGATGGATAAATTTCAAATATCGATGCAAACTAGAAATAAAAATTAAAACATTTAGTATGCATACGCATATATTACATATACATATGCATATATTCATATTTATCCGGAAATTAGTAAAATTATTAGATGTCTATGCAAAAATGATAATTTTCACGCAAAAATTTAATTTTCACGTAAAAATTATGTTTTTCACGTAAAATTGGTATCGTGTAAAGAAAAAGATAGAATTAACAAATATAGAATTGATCTATTCATTATTAAATGTATTTCAAATGTTAGCTAAAATGACTATTTCATGAAAACAAAATTTTCCAATCATACTTCTCTGCTTTATGTACCAAATTAACTGCCTGTAATTATTGTGAACGTAACAGAAGCATAAAAATTGCTTAATGGTTCTTTTTCACTTCCGTTTAACTTGTAAAATTTAAGTTTATAATATAAAAATGTTGTATGAATGATATCAATTTGATGTTATATTTTCCAAACTGTTCGCAGTATATTACTTTTGAAATGAAATTTTTAATTTCAGCAATTAAAAATGAATAGTTGATTTCATCCATTGGTTGGTTAATTGATCGATTGGATAGTTAATAATAATTATATAAATTTTGATAATTTTTATAAGTTTGCAAATATAAGAATGCATGCATTAAAAGATTTAAAAATACATAACCCAATAATATAAAGTTTTACCTTTGATATTGAGAAAACGAATATTGTTGTTGATTACTGTGATAAGATGGAAATGACGTAGTTTGTGATTGTTGCTGATTACTATGATAAGATGAAAATGGCGTAGTTCGTGATTGTTGATGATTACTATGATAAGATGAGAATGGCATAGTTTGTGATTGTTGTTGAAATGGTGACCGTTCAGTATATAATGTGTTATTTAGCTAAAATTATAAAAAAAAAAATATTAAATAGTTATGAAATAACCAGATGAAAATTTAAAAAACATTTTAAAAAATATTGTTAAAAATGAAAAGATGGGATATGATGAATTTTTAGATTTATTAAATCAAGACAATTAAAAAGAAAAGAATAAAATTGTCGTTTCTTTTCTATTCAGTAATTTCCGAAATCTTAATATCAAACCTTTATGGTAAATAAAAATAGAAAATGGGAAATTCCAGAAAAACCCTCCATGGAAAATTCCAGAAAAATCCCCTATGGAAAATTCCAGAAAAATCCCCTATGGAAAATTCCAGAAAAATCCCTCATGGAAATTTCACAAAAATTTTCCATGCAAAATTTCACAAAAATCCCTCACGGAAAATTCCAGAATAATCTTCCATGGAAAATTCCAGAAAAATCCCTTATAGAAAATTTCACAAAGATCTCCTATGGAAAATTCCAGAAAAATCTTCCATTTAACATCCCAGAAAAATCTCCCATGGAAAATTCCCGAAAAATCCATTATGGAAAATTCCAGAAAAATCTTCCATTTAACATCCCAGAAAAATCTCCCATGAAAAATTCCCGAAAAATCCACTATGGAAAATTCCAGAAAAATCTTTCAT